CCCCAAAACCCCAAAACCCCAAAACCCCAATATAAATTCGAAGAAATAATTTATAAATGAAAGTACGAATTTCTCTAAGAATAGAGAACAGAGAGAGGTATGTATTGCACCTAGATAAAGCATTTATCAAACATATCTGAAGTCTCTTCCAGATGGAATTTAATGAGGAATATGTCCTTCTGCTTGAGCCCTCCAGCGTTGTGTTTGATATCAAAGTGGTCAGCCATAACGATAAGTGAAGGATTTTAGAACGTAGTAAACTTAAATTGATTGAACAGGAAAGCCAAGAAATCGCCCAACAAGCGAGGAAGGAAAAACAGAAACGAATCTTACAAGGAACATGGGAAGAAAAGAAGATCAACTGGGAACCTTCTAATAAGATAGCACAATATAATATGCAAATGGCTAATAGGTTTGGTGGGTATGGAGCCAATCAGTTTTATGGAAGTCCTCAAGGACTGATGGCTCATTATCATGGCAGTCCTATGATAGTTATCAGAAAGGCCACCAAAATGCCTGATAAAATTGATACCGAGCGGATAGAAAATAATAAATTGCAAATAATGACCCCTGATTTTGAAGATTTTGCTTCTCAAATTCTCCATGCAAGTACTAGAAAAGAATTAAATCAAACTATGAAAGTTCTTGCTTTACTAAAAGGGTTCAAAATGGTTATTCCCTATGGAAAAGTTGAAACAAGGATTACCTATTCATGTCATAGAACTGGGCTAAGAAGGGGTGCTCAGTACTCAAAGAAGACAAATTGTCCATTCCAAGTGATCTATAATAAAGTAGACCGTAAGCCAAACTATTTTCTAGCTAAGTATCGGTGTAACCATAACCACCCTCTTGATGAGCTAGAAATGTTTGCAGGAGAAATAGTCCAAAAGAAAATCAACAAAGTGGTCAACGAGCTTAAGCAACATAAATTGAAAAATCTGATTAATACAGGAGAAGGTTCTGAGGTAGGCACCAAAGAGAGTGACAGCACTTCAGGAGTCTCTCCTGAAAGTCTTGATGCTCTCTGTCCTCCTGCAAGGCCTTCTTATAATTCAAAAGAAGTTCAGATAGATGCTCTTTGACAATCAAAAGTGTATTGCCACATTGAACAAGGAGATATAGTCGATCCAATAAAAGAGGGTAAGCAGTCTAAGGCTAGTATCTGAGAGGTTCTCCTCAGCTCGTTAGAGTATAATCCCATAGACAGAACAGATCTTAAGCCAAGAAGGCTAATTTTGGAAACCAGCAAGATTCTTGAGAAGGATCTCATCTACGACTACTTCAATCATGATGTGAATCGAGAAAAGTTAAATCAAGAAGAGGAAATCAAAGACGAAGAAGAGGATGTCTATGAATCGAAAGCTCAGATCCTCTCAATTGAAAATATAAAGACTAGAACCAAGGAAACTCAATATCGCTACGATAAGCTTACCAGGATATCTGAAAAGATTTCTCCTTACAGAATTTACGAAGTTCCTTCAGATTGGAAGGAAGACACAGATGGGAGCCCTTGAGAAGTTCTAGAGGAACTTCTCCCCACATTCCAGTTTGGTGTTGAATCAGACAATGAAGAGCAGGAGTCAGATAATCAACAAGCTGATAAAGTTATCAAGGAAGAAATCCAACTGGAGAAGAATGAAAAATGATACCAACTTGAAATTGAAAGCGATACCGAGTCTGAAGGAGACAATAAAGATGCCAAGAAGGATATTCTTGATCAATCCTCCCAAAGTTCAGAAGATAGTCAGAATTCCAATGATATACAGACCATAGCAGCTAAAAGAAAAGCAGATTCTATGGATATTAGTGAAGAAGTTGAGACTGAGATTGATAATGATATTGAAGGCCGAGAAATAATTGGAGAAGCATCCCAACCTCAAAATCAAAATTTGAAGAAACTTGGGCAGTTTGCTCCAACTGAAGCGGTATATTCAGGGATTAAAAGAAAGAGCCCTCAAAAAGAATATTATTATTCATCAGATGGAGGGACCCTCTATGTGAATGATTATTTACAGAAGCACAAATCAAAAGCAGGTGGAGTGAAAAGAGTCAAGATTCAAGCTCATGAGCATACCTGAGATATTAGTGGGGATGAATCCGAATAATTTTTCAATAAATATCTTAAATAACGGGGTTTTGGGGTTTTGGGGTTTTGGGGTTTTGGGG